TCACTATTGTATCACAAGACACCCATACACATTTCATTTCATCAGTCCCGCCTAGACAGATTGGATACTACTCAGTGGAGATTCTACTTTCCTCCACGCCCTCTGGATCTAGGTTCCCTCTTGAAAGCTTGTAAGCTAATTACTTCTTGCCTTTGTAGTCCCAGTTTTAAGTTATTCTTTTTTTTTAATTAAATGTTTTTATTTTGCAATGAGTGAAAGTTTACAGGGCACATCATCAGCTTCACACATTCAACCATTCATATAGCTTGTTTCATTACATTGATTATTATCCCCTCCATATATCATCAGTTTACAGTGTTTCTCTCTATCCTCTTTAGCTTTTTTTTTTGGATGGGGGGGGGCGATAATTTGCTTTTTAATGTGAAACTTTCTCTTGCCTTCACACTCCATTTGAAGACAAGAGAACACCTCAAGTGTTTTACCAAGCTCCTGAAATTAAAAAAAAAAAATTCACCAGAATACTTGGCAAACCACCTTTTCTTGTTGCTTCTTTCCTAGCATATTTCTTCTGTGAGTTGTTACTTGGTTTTAAACATACTAGATCGATTCACTCTGTGTCTTAAAGACAAAACCAAATGATTTCTCCCCTATTTTTTAAATCCCGCCGCCCCACCCACCCCCGCCTCAATTGCTGAGACTTTGTCTGATTTCTTTGGCCAAAAGCATAATATAGAAAGTATAGAATTCACAGTAATGTTGTTGTTAAGTGCCCAACCCTATGCACAATAGACTGAAACTGCCTGGTCTCGTGCCATCCTCAAAATCGTTGTTACGCTTGCGCCTAATGCTGCTACCACTGTGGAGTCTTCCTCTTGTTTGCTGAGTCTTCACTTTACCAAGTGTGATATCATTCTCCAGGGAGTTGTCCCTCCTGATAACGTGTCTGAAGTATGAAAGATGACTTCTCACCATCATACTTTCTAAGGAGCACTCTGGCTGTACTTCTTCCAACACTGATTGGTTTGTTCTTCTGGCAGTCCATGGTACTTTTAATATTATTCTCTAACACCATAACTCAACTGCATCAATTCTTGTAAAATCTTCATTAGTTGTCCAACTTTCACATGCATATGAGGCTATTTAAAATACCGTGGCTTGAGTCAGGTATTTTCATTGTCAAAATTAAAATCTTTGCTCTTGAACACTTTAAAGAAGTGTTGTACAGCAGATTTGTCCAATGCAATAAATCGTTTGATTCCTTGATTGCTGCTTCCATGAGTGTTGATCGTGTATCCAAGCAAAATGAATCCTTCTATAAGGAGCTCTGGTAGCGTAGTGGTTACGAATTGGGCTGCGAACCTTAAGGTCAGTGGTTCGAAACTACCAGCCGCTCCGCGGGAGAAAGATGAGGCTTTCTACTCCCATAAAGATTTACACCCTTGGAAACCCTGTACAGGGTCGCTATGGGTCGGAACCGACTCGATGGCACTTAACAACAACAACAATCCTTTCTCCATTTATCATGATGCAATTTATTGGTTGAATGGTGAGGATTTCTGTTTTCTTTACATTGAGATACAACCCATACTGAACACTGGTCTTTGATCTTCATCAGTAAGTATTTAAAGTCTTCTTCACTTTCAGCAAGCAAGGTTGTATCATTTGTGTACCCCAGGTTGTTAATGAATCTTTCTCCAATCTGGGATGCCACATTCTTCTTCATATAATTCTGATTTTTGGATTATTTGCTTAGCATACAGATTGAATATGTATGTTGAAAGAATAAAACACTGGCTCACATTTTTCCTGATTTCAAACCATTCAGTATATCCTTGTTCTGTATGGACGACTGCCTCTTGGTGTATGTACAGGTTCCTTATGAGCATAATTAAGTGTTCAAGAATACCCATTTCACAATGTTTGTCATGATCCACACAGTTGAAAGCCTTTGAATAATCAGTAAAGCACAGGTAAACATCTTTCTGTTATTCTCTGCTTTCAGCTAAGATCCATCTGATGCCAGCAATGATATCCCTCATTACATGTCCTCTTCTGAATCCGGCTTAAGTTCCCTATCAGTGTTTTGTTATGGGCATTTTTGAATTACATTTAGCAAAATTTAACTTTCATGTGATATTAATGATATTGTACGATGATTTTTGCATCCCATTGGGTTACCTCTCTTTGGGATGGGCATAAATATGGATCTCTTCCAATCAGTTGTCGAGGTAGTTGTCTTCCAAATTTCTTGGCAAAGAATGCCTCCAGTGACTCATCAGTTTGTTGAAGAATCAATTTGTATTTCATCAATTCATGGAGCTTTGTTCTTTGCCAATGCCTTCCGTGCACCTTGGATTCCTACCTTCAGTACCATTGGCTCTTGATAATATGCTATCTCTTGAAATGGTTGAACATAGGCCATTTTTCTTTGGTGCAGTGATTCTGTACTTTTGATGCTTTCTGCATCATTCAATATTTTGCCCATGTTGTTGTTGTTGTTATGTGCCATCGTGTTGGTACCGACTCTTAACAATCCTATGCACAACAGAACGAAACACTGCCTGGCCCTGGGCCAACTTCATAATTGTTGCCACGCTTGAGCCAATTGATGCTGCCACTTTGCCAACCCTTCTCTCTAGGGGTCTTCCTTTCTTTAAAAAATGTTTTATTGTGAATTATGTGATAGTTTACATGGGAGAATGTTAATTTTACATTCATCCTATCATATATCATTTCATTGCCATGGTTACAATCCCCTCCATGCATCATCAATCAACCAAAGGCTATACCCTGCAAGCCTGTCCCCCGATTGTCAGCACCACAGCCCCTTTCCCTCTCTGGGTCTAAAGTCCCCAGCTGCTCCATCTCTCCATGTCATGGTCTCTGCCTCCATCTCTGGCATCACTGCTTCTCTGGGTAGGGTCCCGCTCTCTGCTCTTCTCCCTTCATGGTCCCAGGGACCTCCGCTCCTAGACTGAAAAGTTAATCATTCCCCTCCTTGCTACAGAGTGTCTACTTTTACATTTCCAACCCTCACAATCAGTCCTGATAACAATTATTCACTATTGTATCACAAGAGACCTATTCGCATTTCCTTTCATCAGCCACACTTTGACAGATTGGATACTACTTAGTGGAGATTCTACCTTCCTCCACACCCTCTGGATCTAGGTTCCCTCTTGAAAGCTTGTAAGCCAGTCACTTATTGCCTTTGTAGCCCCCCTCCCCCATTTTGGGTAGCCAATGTCCAA